AAATTTACGATCAATAAAGTTCCCAGCTGCGCCTGAATCTACTAGCGCCTTATGCTGGGAATGAGGTGCCACCTGTGGAAAACGCACAGGAATACTCATGTGACCAACAGAGAGCTCTGGGTAAGTGGGGCGCCTACTCACCTGAAATGACTCCCCAGTGCGTGACCTGTTGTCCCCTCTCTCAGAAGACCCTCCCCAGCACCTGACCGTGGTGTGTCCTCCACGGCCACAGTTGGTGCAGGGGTTGGCCCTCCTCGGGTTCTCCCTCCTCCTCTCTCTAGCGCCAGCACCCCCGAGCTCCATAGGAATAGGCTCGGAGGTGCTGGAGGATGGAATGGACGACCCCCACTCGGGACGTCCGCGGGTAGCCAGCAGGGTGTCTAGACTGATGGAGATGTCCACCAGCTGGTCGAACGACAGGTTGGTGTCCCTGCAGGCCATCTCACGACGGACGTCCTCTCGTAGGCTACACCGATAGTGGTCAATGAGGGCCCTCTCATTCCATCCCGCATCCGCTGCTAGTGTCCGGAACTCCAGTGCGAACTCCTGTGCGCTCCTCCTCCCCTGTCGGAGGTGGAATAGACGCTCTCCCGCCGCTTTCCCCTCAGGTGGATGATCGAAGACAGTCCTGAAGCGGCGGGAAAACTCCGCGTAGGTGATGGTGGCGGCGTCTATTCCCCTCCATTCGGCGTTGGCCCACTCCAACGCCTTCCCGGAGAGACAGGAGATGAGGGCGGAGACGCTCTCGTATCCCGAGGGCGCCGGGTGTATGGTGGCAAGGTAAAGTTCTACCTGTAGGAGAAAGCCCTGACACCCGGCTGCAGAACCGTCATATGCCCTCGGGAGCGAGAGCCGAATGCCACTGGGTTCCGGTGCTGAGAGAGGAGGACTGGCCGTTGGTGCTGGGATGGTGTGAGACGGCGTGGGCACCTCCCGATTCATCAACCGGCGCAGTCTGTTGGACACCTCGTCCATGGCGACCCCGAGTTGCCGGATCATGGCGTCCTGGTAATTAATCCGGTCCTCCAGGGAATCGGGTATCGCCGCTGTTCCTGCTGACTCCATGGAGATGGTGTGTTGTTCTGTCATGAGGTGAGGTGTATGTGTGGTGGAAGTCAGGCGCAGGACACCGAGGCTCAGTCCAACAGAGTTTACTCAAAAATTCCAAAAGGAAACGGTAAACAAACGACCTCCAAACATAAGAGGCGAGCATTTACGCAAAAAGCGTAAAACACTAGAAAACAAAACAAGAAACAAAACACGCAGCACAAAGACAGGCGAACAACAACACACAATCCTACCAAGCAAAAAGACGGAACTTATAGGACAGGTGATGAATACACAATAGGACACAGGTGTGACAGACAGACAAAAGCAATCACACACAGAAACATAGATCAGTGGCAGCTAGTACTCCGGGGACGGCGACCGCCGACGCCTGCTCGTACCAGGAGGGGGAGCAGCCTCGGCAGAATCCGTGACAATTCTTAAATGGAAGAAGTTTGGAACCACCAAGAGTCTTCCTAGAGCTGGCCGCCCAGCCAAACTGAGCAATGGGGGGAGAAGGGCCTTGGTCAGAGAGGTGACCAAGAACCCGATGGTCACTCTGACAGAGCTCTAGAGTTCCTCTGTGGAGATGGGAGAATCTTCCAGAAGGACTACCATCTCTGCAGCACTCCACCAATTAGGCCTTTATGGTAGAGTGGCCAGATGGAAGCCACTCCTCAGTAAAAGGCACATGGCAGCCTGCTATGAGTTTGCCAAAAGGCACCTAAAGACTCTCAGACCATGAGAAACAAGATTCTCTGGTCTGATGAAACCAAGATTGAACTCATTGGCCTACGGTGAAGCATGGTGGTGGCAGCATCATGTGTTTTCAGCGGCAGGGAGACTAGTCAGGATCGAGGCACAGATGAACAGAGCAAAAGTACAGAGAGATCCTTGATGAAAACCTGCTCCAGAGCGCTTAGGACCTCAGACTGGGGCGAAGGTTCACCTTCCAACAGGACAACGACCCTAAGCACACAGCCAAGACAACGCAGGAGTGGCTTCGGGACCAGTCTCTGAATGTCCTTGAGTGGCCCAGCCAGAGCCCGGACTTGAACCTGATCGAACATCTCTGGAGAGACCTGAAAATAGCTGTGCAGCAACGCTTCCCATCCAACCTGACAAAGCTTGAAAGGATCTGCAGAGAAGAATGGGAGAAACTCCACAAATACAGGCATGCCAATCTTGTAGCATCATACCCAAGAAGACTCAAGGCTGTAATCGCTGCCAAAGGTGATAAAACAAAGTACTGAGTAAAGGGTCTGAATACTTATGTAAATGTGATATTTCTAAAAAACACTTTTTGCTTTGTCATTATGGGGTAGTGTGTAGATTGAGAGGGGGGGGGGACTATTTCATAAATTTTAGAATAAGGCTATAACCTAACAAAATGTGGAAAAAGTCAAGGGGTCTGAATACTTTCCCGAAGGCACTGTATATTTACAGTTTGAGTGTGTTTATATGGGGGTTGGAGACATGCTTATTTCAACATTACAAAGAAAAACGTGTATAAACAATGGCCATAGGCTGCGTTCACACAGGCAGCCCAATTCTGATATTTTTTCCACTAATTGTTCTTTTGACCAATCACATCAGATCTTTTCACACAATATATTTTTCAGAGCGGATCTGATTGGTCCGAAAACTAAAGAAAAAAGTTCAAAATTGGACTTCCTGTCTAAACCAATGATTTATATATACACTAGATTACTAATAGGGGGCGCTGTGTTGATGCATCCGTGCCTCCATCTTGGCACTTCCACGCCGGTGTAAAAAATGTTTTGGAAGCTATAGAAATGCATTTATGAATGTCTACATTTGTTTTCAACATGTTTATTCTATATGCATATTTTTAAATTATATTATGTGAGCTAAACATGAAAAGAAAATCTAAAAACGTTTTACTTAAAGTATACTTTTTAGAGATTACTAATGTAACTGTCCCCATTACAACAAAAACATTTAAATACATGTAATTTTGTCCTTGAAACATTTTAATCGAAATTCTGTAGCATTCCATTCATTCCTATAGAGGACTGCTCCTACTGGGGAGTGCCAATATGGCCGACCAGTGGTTTCAATGCCTCTCAATGGCCAACACTTAGCATCAGCGATCCAGGGTTTATATACATCACTGGTACTGTCCCCACTACAACAAAAAATACTTATACATGTAATTTTGTCCTTTAATTTCATTGAAATAATGGAGTACCAATGTGTGCGACCGGTGGCTTCAAAGCCTCTCATTGGCTAATACATATCAGCAATCCAGGGTTTATGTCGCATTCGTAACCAAGTGGGAGGTGGGAATTTACCAGTTGTGAAGTTGTAAATACCAATTGGATGCATTCATGTGCTTTGAACTCGTTGAGAAATCTGATTTTACTGCACAACTCAGTTAAGCAGTAAAATCAGATTTAAAAAAAAGTTTAAACTACACCTTATGGAACAGCGCATACTGTGAAGACACACAGACACACAGCATTTGCAAACGCGCACTCTACAAAGACATTTTAATATTGTTATTTTGCTGTATTATTGATTTTGTTTTGTAGATATGTTATGGTAGAGTAGTGTGTAATAATGTGTTGTGTTATGTATTGTTTTATTGTATGCAATTGTGATTGGACCCCAGGAAGAGTAGCTGATTCCTTGGCAGCAGCTAATGGGGATCCGGAATAAAATACAAATACAAAGATTGACTAATGGCCAACAAGCTGCGTAAACCATAAACTAAAAGTACAGCTATCATGCTTGTAAACAAATTGTGTTAAGAAAACATTAGATTGCTTTTTATAAATAATGTTTTGTTGCATTTAAATGCTGTTATCGGGGTCATTTCCTTAGTAGGTGATGTCAGAGGTCACCATGTGGGAGAAGTGGGAGCTCAGGATGATAGACGAGTTTCTCACTATTAATTACCAGTTGGAGGTTTGTTCGAGTTTTCCTAGTCGTATGTGGTAAATTCCCACTTGGTTATAAACGCATCATTATATACATAATTGGTCTAAAACGCAACCATAGGCAGCCCAATTCTGATCCTTTTTTCACTAAAGTGGTCTTTTGACAAATCAGATCAGCTCTGAAAAAAATATAAGAATTGGGGCTGCCTGTGTAGACAGCCATAGGCTAGAAATGACAGACATGCACAACATAATCAACAAACATTAATGGTAGAAGTGTCAGTTAATACTGTCCATGGATACTTGACAGGAATTATGAACATGCGCAAAAAATGCTAATTTCAGTCCGATGACTTGAATAGGATTTGTGCCACAAATGCTAAAACGCTTGCATGTTAAAACAGTGCCAGGGAATCTAAACAAAAGCATTGATTGCTGTCATACCTTGTCCGTAGACTGCTTACAGGGTAAGAAAGACAAATTATAAAATGACATTGGTTAAACTATCCCTTTAAGAATATAATATGTGCTCAGGCTGCTATTGTTATCATGTATCACGGCTAAACTGAGTTTCATTCATCCATTATCCAGAAACATGTTGGATTATTCAACCAAGATATTTGTAACATAGGGGTGTTACATTACAAATAGATATGGGTAGACAAGGTGAGGATTTTCTATTATGTTCTAGACATGATGAAAAACAATGACAAGGGCAGCTATTCCATTGCCATGTCTGTAATCTTTAATCAACCAAATGCGTTATCTTTACAAATGAATCATTGTAACAGCCAAATTAAGCAGGATAGAATATTGAGCTTCGATATATCCAGTTTTCTGTGAATGTCCATAATTGTTTTTGGAGCAGTTCCCATTAAAGCTAGAATCCTTAGTTGCTACATCCATTCTTGGATATATAAATGAATGATATATACCCATTGATTCTTAAATAATAACATGTAAATGCCTGATGAGCTTAGTTTAACTGTTGTACCCCATCAGAACCCACAATATAAGCTTGTTATACACCATGGTTTGTAGACAAAGTAAATGTAAACAAACACTGTATAGCCGCAATATGGTTAAAACTATATATTTTTATATCATCCAGTGGTCAGTCCTTGCATACATAGCACTCGTTTTGACCCCAAAGGTGGGGTGACCACTGTTATTGTTTCAATTAAGGATTCCAGCTTTAAAATGTTTTTAGTTCAAATGACATCCTTGACAGCAAAACTGTTGCCGGGGTTGGTATCTCCATAGTTTTGATTTTAAAAATAGCATTTATTAAAAAGGTACATAATACTTTACTGCAAGTTGTATAAATACAAAAACCCTGAGTTTTTTTATTAGAATTTCCAGCAAAATGAAACATCTTCCTCTCTTGGAATTAGGCATTTAGAAAGGTGTGAGCCCTTGTCTGCGGAAGCCATTGCCTGCATTCCCATGTCGGAAGGCAGCCCTAGCATTGGCCCTCCAACTTAACTCTCCAAAGAAAATGTTGGTCCAATAGAAGAAGAAAAAAACAAGTGATCCTTGAAGGTTGAAGTTGAGAGAAATTCACATTTAAGAGGCTATGACATTGTAGCAGACAGTGCAGGCGACTGCCGACTAACTGAACTTTGTATCATAAATAGCGACTGATTGTTATTTGTAGATCAGTCAGTCAGTCACATCACGGTTTTGATGCTCTCGAACACGGCCGTTGTCTATGCTCTCTAGAGTTATAGTTCTGGAATGGTGTGCTCTAATCTAAAGTTCTGTAGCTGGACCCCACTCGATGTCATCAGTCTCTTCATTGTCAGAGCTGTCACTGCCTCGGATCCGAGTGCGTCTCGTCTGGACAGCCTGGTGGTGAGCCAACCTATCAGGAGATAGAAGAGAAAGAGGGCATTACTAACTGTCACTTCAGTCTTACTCAACTTGGATAGAAGAAGTTGGACTAGGACTGGAGTAGTTGCTCAATTGCTAAGGTTGGTTTATAGACACGCATTTTGATGACTATGCAATTGAACAAACAGCATCACACAAATTAATATTATCAGATATACAGTACCAGTCAAAAGTTTGGAAACACCTACTCAATCCAGGGTTTTCTTTAATTTGACTATTTTCTACATTGTAGAATAATAGTGAAGACATCAAAACTATGAAATAACACATACAGTGGTTTGCGAAAGTATTCACATTTTTCCTATTTTGTTGCCTTACAACCTGGAGTTTTTGGGGGGTTTGCATCATTTGATTCACACAACATGCCTACCACTTTGAAGATGCAAAATATGTTTTTATTGTGAAACAAACAAGAAATAAGACAAAAAAACAGAAAACTTGAGCGTGCATAACTATTCACCCACCAAAAGTCAATACTTTGTAGAGCCACCTTTTGCAGCAATTACAGCTGCAAATCTCTTGGGGTATGTCTCTATAAGCTTGGCACATCTAGCCACTGGGACTTTTGCCCATTCTTCAAGGCAAAACTGCTCCACCTCCTTCAAGTTGGATGGGTTCCGCTGGTGTACAACAATCTTTAAGTCATACCACAGATTCTCAATTGGATTGAGGTCTGGGCTTTGACTAGGCCATTCCAAGACATTTAAATGTTTCCCCTTAAACCACTGAAGTGTTGCTTTAGCAGTATGCTTAGGGTCATTGTCCTGCTGGAAGGTGAACCTCCGTCCCAGTCTCAAATCTCTGGAAAACTGAAACCGGTTTCCCTCAAGAATTTCCCTGTCTTTAGCGCCATCCATAATTCCTTCAATTCTGACCAGTTTCCCAGTCCCTGCCGATTTGTATTTTATTTTGTACCTTTATTTAACTAGGCAAGTCAGTTAAGAACAAATTCTTATTTACAATGACGGCCTACACCGGCCAAACCCGGACGAAGCTGGGCCAATTGTGCACCGCCCTATGGGACTCCCAATCACGGCCGGTTGTGATATAGCCTGGAATCGAACCAGGGGATCTGTAGTGACGCCTCAAGCACTGAGATGCAGTGCCTTAGACCGCTGCGCAACTCGGGAGCCCAATGAAACACATACCCACAGCATTTACATTTACATTTTTAGTCATTTAGCAGACGCTCTTATCCAGAGCGACTTACAGCATGATGCTGCCACCACCATACTTCACTGTGGGGATGGTGTTCTCGGGGTGATGAGAGGTGTTGGGTTTGCGCCAGACATAGCGTTTTCCTTGATGGCCAAAAAGCTCAATTTTAGTCTCATCTGACTAGAGTACTTTCTTCCATATGTTTGGGGAATCTCCCACATTGCTTTTGGTGAACACCAAACGTGTTTGCTTATGTTTTTCTTTAAGCAATGGCTTTTTTCTGGCCACTCCTCCGTAAAGCCCAGCTCTGTGGAGTGTATGGCTTAAAGTGGTCCTATGGACAGATACGCCAATCTCCGCTGTGGAGCTTTTGCAGCTTTGCAGCTCTTTGTTGCCTCTCTGATTAATGCCCTCCTTGCCGGGTCCGTGTGTTTTGGTGGGCGGCCCTCTCTTGGCAGGTTTGTTGTGGTGCCATATTCTTTCCATTTTTTAATAATGGATTTAAAATGGTGCTCCGTGGGATGTTCAAAGTTTCTGATATTTTTTTTATAACCCAACCCTGATCTGTACTTCTCTACAACTTTATCCCTGACAGGTTTGGAGAGCTCCTTGGTCTTCATGGTACCCCTTGCTTAGTGGTGTTGCAGACTCTGGGGCCTTTCAGAACAGGTGTATATATACTGAGATCATGTGACACTTAAATAAAGTCCACCTGTGTGCAATCTAACTAATTATGTGACTTCTGAAGGTAATTGGTTGCACCAGATCGTATTTAGGGACTTCATAGCAAAGGGGGTGAATACATATGCACGCACCACTTCACCGTTATTTATTTTTTAGAATTCTTTGAAATAAGTTCTTTTTTTCATTTCACTTCACCAATTTGGACTATTTTGTGTATGTCCATTACATGAAATCCAAATAAAAATCCATTTAAATTACAGGTTGTAATGCAACAAAATAGGAAAAACGCCAAGGGGCATGAATACTTTGGCAAGGCACTGTATGGAATAATGTAGTAACCAAAAAAAGTGTTAAACAAATCAAAATATATTTTATATTTGAGATTCTTCAAATAGCCACCCTTTTGCCTTGATGACAGCTTTGCACACTGTTGGCATTCTCTCAACCAGCTTTATGAGGTAGTCACCTGGAATGCATTTCTATTAACAGGTGTGCCGCCTTAAAAGTTAATGTGGAATTTCAAATCAAATCAAAATGTATTTGCCACATGCGCCGAATACAACAGGTGTAGACATTACCGTGAAATGCTTACTTACAGCCCTTAACCAACAATGCATTTATTTTTTAATAAAAAAGTAAAATAAAACAAAAAAGTGTTGAGAAAAAAAGAGCAGAAGTAAAATAAAATAACAGGGCTTCTTTCCTTCTTAATGCGTTTGAGCCAATCAGTTCTGTTGTGACAAGGGCGGGGGGTGGGGTAATACAGAAGATAGCCCTATTTGGTAAATGACAAGTCCATATTATGGCAAGAACAGCTCAAATAAGCAAAGAGAATCGACAGTCCATCATTACTTTAAGACATGAAGGTCAGTCAATACGGAAAATTTAAAGAACTTTTAACGTTTCTTCAAGTGCAGTCGCATAAACCATCAAGCACTATGATGAAACTGGCCACAGGAATGGAAGACCCAGAGTTCCTCTGCTGCAGAGGATAAGTGCATTAGAGTTACCAGCCTCAGAAATTGCAGCCCAAATAAATGCTTCACAGAGTTCAAGTAACAGACACATCTCAACATCAACTGTTCAGAGGGGACTGTGTGAATCAGGCCTTCATGGTTGAATTGCTGCAAAGAAACCACTACTAAAGGAGACCAATAATAAGAAGAGACCTGCTTGGGCCAAGAAACACGAGCAATGGACATTAGACTGGTGGAAATTGGTCCTTTGGTCTGGAGTCCAAATTGGAGATTTATGATTCCAACCGCCTTGTCTTTGTGAGACGCGGTGTGGGAGAACGGAGGATCTTCGCATGTGTATTTCCCACCGTAAAGCATGGAGGAGGTGGTGTTATGGTGTGAGGGTGCTTTGCTGCACACTTAACCAGCATGGCTACCACAGCATTCTGCAGCGATACGCCATCCCATCTGGTTTGGGCTTAGTGGGACTATCATTTGTTTTTCAACAGGACAATGACCCAACACACCTCCAGGGTGTGTAAGGGCTATTTTACCAAGAAGGAGAGTGATGGAGTGCTGCATCAGATGACCTGGCCTCCACAATCCCCCGACCTCAAGCCAATTGAGATGGTTTGGGATGAGTCAGACCGCAGAGTGAAGGAAAAGCAGCCAACAAGTGCTCAGCATATGAGGGAACTCCTTCAAAACTGTTGGAAAAGCATTCCAGGTGAAGCTGGTTGAGAGAATGCCAAGAGTGTGCAAAGCTGTCATCAAGGCAAAGGGTGGCTATTTGAAGATTTGTTTAACACTTTTTTGTTTACTACATGATTCCATATGTGTTATTTCATAGTTTTGATGTCTTTACTATTATTCTACAATGTAAAAAATAGTAAAAATAAAGAAAAACCCTTGAATGAGCAGGTGTGTCCAAACTTTTGACTGGTAGAGTAGGTCTACTTCACTTACACAATGAACGATGGGGATGCTTTCCTCTCCTGAGATTCTGCCATACGGGTCTGAAAGAGGGGAAGAGGTCATGGGTCAAAATCACTGGAGACTAAGTTAAGAGTATTTGAGCCTTTAGAGCAGGGTTCTTCAATCCTGGTCCTGGAGGGCCGAAACACTTCTGTTTTTTATTTCTACCTGGTAGTTAATTGCACTCACCTGGTGTCCCAGGTCTGAATTAGCCCCTGATTAGAAGGAGAGGATGAAAAACAGAGGTGTCTCGGCCCTCCAGGACCAGGATTGAAGAACCCTGCTTTAGAAGTACACTAAGAGCTTATAGAGGATCTGTAAGAGTTTGTGCTATGCTGGACTGTGACAGTCCCATCAGTACCTGTTGGAGTTTCTTCTCTATGACTGACAGTGTGACGGCTGGGGGGCTCTCTGGCAGCAGCTCGGCCAACTGGGGCTCAGGGACAGAGATTCTGGGGTCAGGGGCTATGAAGTCAGGGGGTGTGTCCGAGGGGGTGGTCGGAACAGCCTGGTCAATGGTACTGAAGTCCGAATCTGAGAAGCTATGATAGGACGGGGTGTCATCAGCAAGGTCACCGCGAGGAGGGCCGTCAGATGGACAACGGGTTGATCTGGGCTCAGACACATGCATCAGGGGTGGAACCTCTCTCAGAGGCTCGGGGGAGGGGCCGGGGCTGTAGTACTCAGAGGCAGGCTCTGAAGAGCGGGCTAGAGCGGTGAGCCTGGACTGGTTGCTGGCATTAAATGGTTCCTCCAGGTCCTCATTGTCAGTGTAGACCTCTCCGTCTGTAAACGCCTCTCCGTCTGTGTCCTCCAGTTCACTGGCAGCACTCAGGTAGTCCGAGTGGGTCCGGTCCAATGCATCCAGCTCCTCCTCTCCGCCTCCCTCCAACTAAACACACAGACAGACATTTATTTACTTATTTTGGTCTTTATTCCGCCAGGTAATTCAGTGAGAGCAAATTCCCGGTTTGACTGTGAGCTGGGATCTGTCTGTCTTACCGTGACTTCTGAGACCCAGACAGGTTTGGCCTGCTGGTGTCTAATCTTGTCTTTCAGAGTCTCATACCACACATTAGAGCTGGGCTGGAGATCAATACGAGCTGGGAAGAATGGGAATGATGGGACATATTTATTAATAAAACTATTTTTTACAGATAAACCACTTAAGAGCAAAAACAACATGTATGTGTTTTGATAACACAGGCGTGTGGTTTACCTGCGAACAGATGGCTGCAGTGCTTCCTCATCTTGAGGGCCTGTGCGTAGAGGCGTCTGGAGCTCTTGTTGGAGTTGGGGCACATCCTCTGCCTCATGGCCTTGACGTCCTTCCTGCTGTGTGGGTCCAGGAACAGCACCATGGGGTGGTACTGGATGTAGTTCAGACGCTCCACTGCAGTAGGAGTAATATCCAGTAGAGGGTGCTTGTTCTGGAAACAGAGAGTGAAGAAACATACAAGGCATTTTTCTTCAATTCTGGTCCTGGATTCAAACAAGCATACAGCAGTTGTACGTCTGCTCTGTCTCACACCAAAACAGGTCACATCCCAGTTTGTTTCATCACCTTCTCTGCAATCCTTCGTACTGTGTCCAGCTTGATGACTGTGGAAGTGGTGTCTGCGCCACTACTATGAGGAGCCATCTCTGCCACCTCATATTCGTCAGGCATCTCTCTGGCCAGCTTCTCCATGGCCACATCGTTCAGAGGACCCAGGATGACGATTGGCCGTTTGAAATTAGCTGGAGCGCCACATGGGTCAAAAGGGTGTACATGTGTTTAAAGTGTTTGACTATTATGTGAACTATTATGCAAAATAAAACTGTCCCTACCTTCTCTGAGCAGAACTCTCTCATATGCTGGGAATTTGCCCTGGATGGTGAGCTGGAGCAGGTCATCACGAGTCCTGCGGATGTTCTTCTTGGCCCCTCTGAGCCCCCGTAGTTTCCAAAACTCTGCCCTGGGCCCTGAGACGTGGCGATCCCCTCCTCCACTGGCCCTCTGAGCCTGCTCCATACTGGCCAGAGTCTCGGCCCTGAGAGAGAGACGGAGAGGAAATACCATGTAAATGATGCTGTAATATAATTATTGTAGAATAAAAGCAACCCTAATGACAGTATCTACTGTAAGTGTACACATTGGAAAATAGTGCAGTAGCATAGTGCACTCTCAGGTGTCATGCTCTGTAACCATATGTATCTTTATACATTTGTCTTTTTACATCCAAATCCAACCAATCAATGAATGAATAAACCAACCAACCAATCAATCATTCTAGTCTCAACTCACCTGGCCTGGTTGGGGATGGTGCCCTTGTCCAGCTCATGCAGGTCGTTGCCCATGCGTATAGCCAGCCACTTGCCCAGCTTGCCCTTGTGCATGGTGTCCACCACCCTGAACACCTCTCCCCTGGTGAAGGCTAGGCCGATGTTGCCCTCCACCTCATTGTCATAGTGGGTCCGGACGTAGAACGAGTCCCCCAGGTTGGACTTCAGGATCTTCTTGTAAACTGACAAGAGAGGAAGAATAACTTAGTCATTTAGGAATAACTTTATCATTTGTATGTCCCTTATTACTGGGTAGAGTTAATACCAAAGTAATTCCATAGAAAACGTCACATGGACAAATCCTCTGAAATCAACTACAATTCTTCCCCCCCCTGCATCTGCTTCAGTCTCTGAAGTAGTACTCACTGTCCATCTTGTTCTGAGTACGGATGTCCACCGGCTCCCCTCTCTTGATGTTGATCAGGAACATTGCAGCTTCCTCACGGTTGAAATGACCAAAATCCACCCCATTCACCTACAACAAGACCATAAGCGGTGAAAGACGTGTTGCATCTACTTGTACTGTAAATCAGCACCTCAGTGGTCACCAACACCAAAGAGCTACAGTGTGTACAGGCTTTTACTTACACAGCATTAAAAATAAAAAAAACGGAATAAACTAATCAAGATCTTAGTTGAATCAGCTGTGTTAGTACTGGGCTAGAACAAAAGCCTGCACACCCTGTACCGGTGGTGACCGCTGCTGTGATCAGTGGGTCTCACCTTCATGATCTGGTCCCCCTCCTTAATGCCCTGCTCCTGGGCTGGGCTGTTAGGCTGAACCCCGTCCACAAAGATGCCCACGTCGTTGCCTCCCACCAGTCTCAGGCCAACGCTCCCCTCCTTCACAAACGACACTGTGTTCAGATCTGAGCTGTATCTACAGAGTAAATACAGGTTTAAAAAAGGAGTCAAATCAAAATGAGTATTAATGAAAAGGAGCATTGTCTTATATTCAACAGACTATAGCAGGGTTCTCCTACTGGCAGCCTGCGGGCCGATTTTGGCCCGCGGGTGACTTTATTTGGCCTCCGAAAGTTTTCGGAGCCGAAAAACAAACAAAAATCGTATACAAATGTAAGCAAGGTTTAAAATTAATGTTTTAGTCATATTATACACTGCTCAAAACAATAAAGGGAACACTTAAACAACACAATGTAACTCCAAGTCAATCACACTTCTGTGAAATCAAACTGTCCACTTAGGAAGCAACACTGATTGACAATACATTTCACATGCTGTTGTGCAAATGGAATAGACAACAGGTGGAAATTATAGGCAATTAGCAAGACACCCCCAATAAAGGAGTGGTTCTGCAGGTGGTGACCACAGACCACTTCTCAGTTCCTATGCTTCCTGGCTGATGTTTTGGTCACTTTTGAATGCTGGCGGTGCTTTCACTCTACTGGTAGCATGAGACAGAGTCTACAACCCACACAAGTGGCTCAGGTAGTGCAGCTCATCCAGGATGGCACATCAATGCGAGCTGTGGCAAGAAGGTTTGCTGTGTCTGTCAGCGTAGTGTCCAGAGCATGGAGGCGCTACCAGGAGACAGGCCAGTACATCAGGAGACATGGAGGAGGCCGTAGGAGGGCAACATCCCAGCAGCAGAACCGCTACCTCCGCCTTTGTGCAAGGAGGAGCAGGAGGAGCACTGCCAGAGCCCTGCAAAATGACCTCCAGCAGGCCACAAATGTGCATGTGTCTGCTCAAACGGTCAGAAACAGACTCCATGAGGGTGGTATGAGGGCCCGACGTCCACAGGTGGGGGTTGTGCTTACAGCCCAACACTGTGCAGGACGTTTGGCATTTGCCAGAGAACACCAAGATTGGCAAATTCCCCACTGGCGCCCTGTGCTCTTCACAGATGAAAGCAGGTTCACACTGAGCACATGTGACAGACGTGACAGAGTCTGGAGACGCCGTGGAGAACGTTCTGCTGCCTGCAACATCCTCCAGCATGACCGGTTTGGCGGTGGGTCAGTCATGGTGTGGGGTGGCATTTCTTTGGGGGGGCCGCACAGCCCTCCATGTGCTCGCCAGAGGTAGCCTGACTGCCATTAGGTACCGAGATGAGATCCTCAGACCCCTTGTGAGACCATATGCTGGTGCGGTTGGCCCTGGGTTCCTCCTAATGCAAGACAATGCTAGACCTCATGTGGCAGGAGTGTGTCAGCAGTTCCTGCAAGAGGAAGGCATTGATGCTATGGACTGGCCCGCCCGTTCCCCAGACCTGAATCCAATTGAGCACATCTGGGACATCATGTCTCGCTCCATCCACCAATGCCACGTTGCACCACAGACTGTCCAGGAGTTGGCGGATGCTTTAGTCCAGGTCTGGGAGGAGATCCCTCAGGAGACCATCCACCACCTCATCAGGAGCATGCCCAGGCATTGTAGGGAGGTCATACAGGCACGTGGAGGCCACACACACTACTGAGCCTCATTTTGACTTGTTTTAAGGACATTACATCAAAGTTGGATCAGCCTGTAGTGTGGTTTTCCACTTTAATTTTGAGTGTGACTCCAAATCCAGACCTCCATGGGTTGATACATTTGATGTCCATTGATAATTTTTGTGTGATTTTGTTGTCAGCACATTCAACTATGTGAAGAAAAAAGTATTTAATAAGATTATTTCATTCATTCAGATCTAGGATGTGTTATTTTAGTGTTCCCTTAATTTTTTTTGCAGTGTATTTGTTTGGCCTAGCATGCTAGTAGATACCCATAGATGCTAGTAGATACCCATTGGCTCACGAACTTCCTTCATACTGGACACAGAAACACAAAAATAGTATGCACGAGTTCATCTGACTCTGGGGAAGTAGATAAAGGGCCTCATTGCCAGTATCCCTTTAATGTAGTCTATATGGGTATAAATAAAGCAACTCACCCCAAGCTAGGTGTGGGAATGGAGTCTGGGGGTAGGGAGTAGAGGGGCTCCTCTGTCTTGGCTGAAATGGAAATAACAGTTAAGACCTTACATCCAGAGTTACTAATACATTATAGAGGACATTGGAGAGCTGATATAAGAGAGTTGGTACTTACAGTAGACCGGAGGGTTGCTCTTCATTGATATCCCAGAGCGGACATTGCCATTGGCTCTGCGTGGAATACTACAAGGGAAGAGATACAGTACCATTCACTCACATTTCCACAATAATGCTTCTACAGTGAGTTAGAGGTCAGAGAAGGTGGAAGTGTGCACACACTTGTGATCAGATTGACTTGAATAGTGACGTGACTTTTGTCACAGAGGACCTTTCTTTTGTTTATGGTGGTTGATTAAACTGTTATTTACCTGGTTGTCTATAGTGGTTTCTAGAATATACTGTAAACTAGCGTTTTACCTGTGGTTGCTCTCCACATCTGTACTCCCAGTCCTCCTAGGGGGTGAGGGTGCACGGTCCGAATCAGAGGAATCTGAACAGGGCAAACACACAGAGTATGAGGATACATACAATATCTCCTGAGTGGCGCAGTGGTCTAAGGCACTGCATCGCAGTGCTAACTGTGCCACTAGAGATGGTTCGAATCCAGGCTCTGTCGCAGCCGGCCGCGACCGTGAGACTCATGGGCGGCGCACAATTGGCCCAGCGTCGTCCAGGGTAGGGGAGGGAATGGCCGGCAGGGATGTAGCTCAGTTGATAGAGCATGGCGTTTGCAACGCCAGGGTTGTGGGTTCAATTCCCACGGGGGGCCAGTATAAAGAAAATATGTATTCACTAACTGTAAGTCGCTCTGGATAAGAGCGTCTGCTAAATGACTAAAATGTAAAATGTAATGCCTTCAGAAAGTATTCATACCCCTTGACTTATTCCACATTTAGTTGTGTTACAGCCTGAATTCAAAACAGATTTAATACAGTAGATTGTTTTCTCCCCCTTCTACACACAATACCCCATAATGACAAAGTAAAAACATGTTTTTAAAATTTTCTTCACATTTATTGAACATGAAATACAGATATCTAATTTACATAAGTATTAACACCCCTGAGTTAATACTTTGTAGAAGCACCTTAGTCATTATGAGGTATTGTGTTAGAGATGGGTGTGAGAAAAAAAATCTACTTAATCCATTTTGAATTCAGGCTGTAACAACAAAATGTGGAATAAGTCAAGGGGTATGAATTATTTCTGAAGGCACTGTACATGTACAGGCCTTCCAACCACAAATTACATGTTTTTAGATGGTGCCCATCTTTCACAGGAGGGTCACTGACCTGAGACTGGTCTGGAGTGGGTCATGCCTTGTCGAGGGGGGTCCTGTCTCACTACTGGAGTTGGAGAAGATTTCATCTCATGCAGAGCTCTGGGAGAGAGAGAGAGCAATCACACTCAATATAATGCCCTTACTGTGTCAACTACCATAAGACTTTTTGACATTGACAGACTTCAAACAGTGTGTGATCTTAGCATGCAGGAGGACTATGTACAGTGCCTTCGGAAAGTATTCAGTCAGACCCATTTACTTTTTCCACATTTTGTTATGTTACAGCCATATTTTAAAATGGATTAAATACATTTTTTTCCCTCAGCAATCTACACACAATACCACATAATGACAAAGCGAAAACAGTTTGTTAGACATTTTTGCATATTTATACAAAATAAAACACTGAAATGCCTTATTTACATAAGTATTCAGACCCTTTGCTATGAGACTCAAAGTTGAGCTCAGGTGCATCCTGTTTCCATTGATCATCCTTGAGATGTTTCTACAACTTCATTGGAGTCCACCTGTGGTAAATTCAATTGACTGGACATGATTTGGAAAGGCACAGACCTGTCTATATAAGGTCCCACAGTTGACAGTGCATGTCAGAGCAAAAACCAAGCCATGGGGTCGAAGGAATTGTCCGTATATCTCAGAGACAGGATTGTGTCGAGGCACAGATCTGGGGAAGGGTACGAAACAATTTCTGCAGCATTGAAGGTCCCCAAGAACACAGTGGCCTGCATCATTCTTAAATGGAAGAAGTTTGGAACCACCAAGATTCTTCCTAGAGCTGGCCACCCGGCCAAACTGAGCAATCGGGAGAGAAGGGCCTTGGTTAGCGAGGTGACCAAGAACCCGATGGTCACTCTGACAGAGCTCTAGAGTTCCTCTGTGGAGATGGGAGAACCTTCCAGAAGGACAACCATCTCTGCAGCACTCCACCAATCAGGCCTTTATGGTGGAGTGGCCAGACGGAAGCCACTCCTCAGTAAAAGACACATGACAGCTCGCTTGGAGTTTGCCAAAAGGCACCTAAAGACTCTCAGACCATGACAAACAAGATTCTTTGGTCTGATGAAACCAATATTGAACTCTTTGGCCTGAATGCCAAGCGTCACGTCTGGAGGAAACCTGGCACCATCCCTACAGTGAAGCATGGTGGTGGCAGCATCATGCTGTGGGGATGTTTTTCAGCAGCAGGGACTGGGAGACTAGTCAGGATCGAGGGAAAGATGAACGGAGCAAAGTACAGAGATCCTTGATGAAAACCTGCTCCAGAGAGCTCAGGACCTCAGACTGGGGCGAAGGTTCACCTTTCAACATCACAACGACCCTAAGCACACAGACAAGACAACACAGGAGTGGCTTCGGGACAAGTCTCTGAATGTCCTTTGAGTGGCCCAGCCAGAGCCCGGACTTGAACCTGATCGAACATCTGTAGAGAGACCTGAAAATAGCTATGCAGCAACGCTCCCCATCCAACCTGAGAGGATATGCAGAGAAGAATGGGAGAAACTCTAAAAACCAGTTTTTGCTTTGTCATTATGGGGTATTGCATGTAGATTGATGAGGGGAAAAAACAATTTAATCCATTTTAGAATAAGGCTGTAACGTAACAAAATGTGGAAAATGTCAAGGGGTCTGAATACTTTCCGAAGGCACTGTATGTCAGGGATAGGCTACTAGATTCAGCCGCGGGACGATTTTGTCCGAGTGGATGGTCGTGGGGCCAGTGGTCTCCTGAGTGGCGCAGTGGTCTAAGGCACTGCATCGCAGTGCTAACTGTGCCACTAGAGATCCTGGTTCGAATCCAGGCTCTGTCGCAGCCGGCCGCGACCGGGAGACTCATGGGCGGCGCACAATTGGCCCAGCGTCGTCCAGGGTAGGGGAGGGAATGGCCGGCAGGGATGTAGCACAGTTGATAGAGCATGGCGTTTGCAACGCCAGGGTTGTGGGTTCAATTCCCACGGGGGGCCAGTATAAAAAAATAAAAAAATTGTATTCACTAACTGTAAGTCGCTCTGGATAAGAGCGTCTGCTAAATGACTAAAATGTAAAATGACTAAAATGTAAATGTAAATAAAAATGTGTACCCAACAAATTGACCACAAGTAAGCCCAAAAAGAGGTTGTATTTGAAAATAAGTAATTTCATACTCTGATTACATTGAGACACGATCACATCTTTTTATTTGTAGGAATACTTGGGAACAGATTTTCTAAATTAAAATAATTTAACCGAATTCTTGGCTATTTTTTTTACTACAAACTTTGGGAGGGGGGGCCAAAAAAACAACACTTGTGGGCCGGTTTTGGCCTGTTTCTGACCTCTGCGTTCAGAAAGTATTCATACCCCTTGACTTATTCCAAATTTTGTTGTGTTACAGCCTGAATTAAAAATGGATTAGAGCAAAATGTTTGCAAATGTATTGAAAATGAAATGCATAAATATGTCATTTACATAAGTATTCACACCCCAGCAATTACAGCTGTGAGTCTTTCTGGGTAAGTCTCTAAGAGCTTTCCACACCTGGATTGTACAATATTTGCCTATTATTCTTTTCAAAATTCTTCAAGCTCTGTCAAATTGGATGTTGATCATTGCTAGACAACCATTTTCATGTCTTGCCATAGATTTTCAAGCAGAATTAAGTCAAAACTAACCCGGCCACTAGATTTGGCCTTGTGTTTTAGGTTATTGTCCTGATGAAAGGTGAATTCATATCCCAGTGTCTGGTGGAAAGCAGACTGAACCAGGTTTTCCTCTAGAATTTTGCCTGTGCTTAGCATTATTCTGTTTCTTTTTTATCCTGAAAAACTCCCCAGTCCTTAACGATTACAAGAATACCCATAACTATGCAGCCACCACTATGCTTGAAAATATGGAGAGTGGTACTCAGTAATGTGTTGTATTGGATTTGCCCCAAACATAACATTTTGTATTTACGATAAAAAGTTAATTGCTTTGCCACATTTTTTGCAGTATTACTTTAGTGCCTTGTTGCAAACAGGATGCATGTTTTTGAATATTTGTATTCTGTACAGGCTTCCTTCTTTTCACTGTCAATTAGGTTAGATTGTGTAGTAACTACAATGTTGTTGATCCATCCTTCTCCTATCACAGCCATTAAACTCTGTAACTTTTTTTAAGTCACCATTGGCCTCATGGTGAAATCCCTGAGCGGTTTCCTTCCTCTCCGGCAACTGAGTTAGGAAGGACGCCTGTATCTTTTGTAATGACTGGCTGTATTGATACACGATCCAAAGTGTAATTAATAACTTCACCATGCTCAAAGGGATAATCAATGTCTACTTTTTTTTAACCCATCTACCAATAGGTGCCCTTCTTTTCAAGGCATTGGAAAACCTCCCTGGTCCTTGTGGTTGAATCTGTGTTTGAAATTCACTGCTCGACTGAGGGACCTTACAGATAATTGTATGTGTGGGGTACAGAGATGAGGTAGTTATTCAAAAATCGTCCATGCAACTTATTATGTGACATGTTAAGCACATTTTTACTCCTGAACTGATTTAGGCTTGAATACTTATTGACTCAAGACATTTCAGCTTTTCATTTTTTATACATTTCTAAAACATTTGAAAAACATCATTCCACTTTGACATTATGGGGTATTGTGTGTAAGCCAGTGACAAAAAAAATCTAAATTTAACCTGAAGGCACTGTATGTTAATGTGTCAGTGTTGTTTTAAGTGTTCACCCAGTTCCTTGTATAAGTAGACTAACCAGTCTAGCATCCTGGCTTTATCTTCAGAGAATCTAGTGCACTGAAGCAGACAACTATTGAAACCATTTTGACTAAACGTGTATGTGTGCCAATGTTGTAGAAGGGTTGGTGTGGTGTCTGTCAGCCTGACCTGTATCTGTTCTTGGATACCCTGGAGCTGGAGCTGGAGCTGTCTACAGACTGCCGTCGAGGGACGGACGCATAACTTGCCTCCGACTCAGATCCTGAGCGCCCTGGGGACATGGACACACACATAGGTAAACACAAACAAACCACAAAACAGACCACACATGAGCAATAATAATAATAATAATAAGCATAAGTTACACATACAGGTAAGTCAATACGCGCACACACACCTTTAGCAGGGTTGCTCATTGTGACACTGGGGGCTTTCCACTTGGGGGGCTCCACTTGGGGGGCTTTCCACTTGGGGGACTCCACTTGGGGCAACATGGCTACCAACGGAGTGGCTCTGGAAGAGAAGAGGGAGGTTGGGAGTGAGGGAGGAAGACAACAGAATCTCAGTTACGTGTGGAAAGGGGGACCCTTGGCTAAAATAGATAATGATGAGAAGACTGATATATTCACCTTAGGACCTCTGGGGGAGCTGTCTCACATGGCTAATCACATGTCATGAGCATATGGACAATTTAGCATCATTGTTGCTTTAAATTCAAAAAATAATACCTTTGTCTGTTATTCATGCCATGAATGCAAACCCATCCATGTATAATTTCAAATGCATTTTAAGATGTTCATTCATAGTCAGGTAAGAGGCAATCTCTGTTGATTTGATCGTACTGCTGATTGCTTTTTGACCAGATTCAACCACATATACAGTAGAGGGACGTGTTCAGTGGAAGTCACTTTTATTTTATTGTTAAACAAAACCTCACAGTAGGCACAAGCACAACATGCATTATGGGGTACAACGTAATCGTCAATCAAGGCCGACAGACCAAAAATAAAATAATCATAAAAACTGAACAGTAAATTAATAATAGCACAAGAGTGGAAGGAGGAGGTGGGTGGCATGCATCGGCTGCCCAGTGCCCCAGTCCGGGGGCTCCTGCTGGGACTTGGGGGGGTAGGATGGTAGGGGTGGGCCTCATCTGTACCTGTATCTGCTCCGGGAGTCCTGGCTGTGGGCGGGCCCGGAGCTGCCGTCTGACTCAGATTCAGAGTCTGAGGAGAGAACAGGGGTAATGCTCCAATTATGTGGCCGTTTCTACCTCATTTCAATGCACTTACAATGTTCCGTCAAGGTGTTCCTGTTGTGGAAGTTGAGGCAAGGGGTGTACGTAGTGGGTACTGACCTGGGAGTGGGGCTTTGACAGGAGAGGAGACCCGTCGAGGGGGATCCTGACGAATGGTGATGGGGGAGGCTCTCAGTGTCCCAGGGTAGGGCAGGTTAGGGAGCACTCTGTATCTCGAGTGGTCCTCTGTGACTCGGGAACTCTCCCCTCTTCTGGGGGGTGGGGAGGCACTGCGGTCCGAGTCCGACTCTGACACCACTACACACATACACACACACACACAGAGAGAGAGACAGGGAAGGAGAGGGAGAGAGAGTGAAGGAGAGAGAGGGAGGGAGAGAACATGCTATTATCATGATCCACTCAGTGTCATTTGATGAGATTTCCCTATAGCCTGTGTGGTGTGTTTACCTTTGCGAGGTCTCAAGGTGGAGGTGGAGGAGGGGGGACGGGAGGAACGTGGGGCGGCCCAGTCGAGGACGGCAGGTGAGGCTTTGGGGTTGGGGAGGGTGGACACCCCTGAAAGAGTTCTACAGCAAGAGAGAAACACCCCTCAATGAAACACACTAAGACAGATAATATCAAACCAACCGTGTCTAATTTGAGGTTGAACCCACCTGTATTTGTTGGCGTGGTCTGGGCTGTCCTTCCTGACTGGAGTGGGTGAGGCACTGCGGTCAGACTCCGACTCTGAGGGGGCTAGATTGAAACACACAGCTCAGGTCAATATGACAGGGTACGGATTACACATGAGTGGGATGGACCAATGTTTATGAAGGAATTGAGAACTGGACTCACCTCGGTGAGAGGGGTAGGCTTTTGCAACAGGCCGGGACAGTGTTGACCGCACCGGGGACGGATCACGTGACTTAGCTACTTGAGGAGGAGGCTCAGCTCTTCTGCAACAAGCCAGAGAGAGAGAAAGCCTTGTCATACATAGGTCAAAAGCAGACTTGTCACTTAAAGGAAAAATCCACTAACTCCTTTAATTGACAGTGTTAAATAACACTAATATCTGAGAGAAAAAATTGTGAACAAATGTGTAATTTTTGGCCTTATAATAAGGTTGGTAGAAACATGGAAAATCGTTGTGGAAATCTGTTGCAGTCGACTACAAAATACACAGTGCAATGCTCTCTCTATGGGCAGGCTGGCTGGCTGGCTACCTAGCTAGATACCAAAGACAAAAAAATCTGTAAAATCACCTAAACAAAACTGCACTATCAATTTAGGAGTCTACTATCTCACCATGTTCAACCTGCAGATCGATGTGCCTCAGAGTGGAGTCTGACATTCGCAATGGCAGATATATACTTTTGAGGAGATGGGAAATGTTGCCCATGCTATGTCAATGGGCCATGTAGTACATGTAGCCTACATATCAATACATACATACAAACCATCTAGGTCAAATAGGGGAGAGGCGTTGTGCCATGAGGTGTTGCTTTATCTGTTTGTTTTTTTTAACCAGGTTTGCTGTTCATTTGAGCAATATAAGATGGAAAGGAGTTCTATATAACACTGTACGCTTTCTTGAATTTGTTCTGGATTTGGGGAGTGTGAAAAGACCCCTGGTGGCATATCTGGTGGGGTAAGTGTGTTTGTCAGAGCTGTGTGTAAGTTGACTATGCAAACTATTTGGAATTTAACACGTTAATCTTCTCCGAGATGTGAGATAATGAACCTGCCATCTGTAATATCGTATAGCTTTGGAATCGTGACATTACGTACTTGAGGAAAATAGGCATGTTTCTCGACATATACACTGACTTTGAGAAGGGATTGCGTAACGATTAGCTTAGCAACCGCGTGACGCAGCATGACAACGTGAATGCGATTGGTCGACAGTCTGCTGGTTGGGGCGTTAAACGTTCCTTCATTCATTCATTCAAGTCCTCTCTGGCAACGGCACCATGCAATGCACCCTGGACTAAAGAGGCAGAGCAACAGGAGAAATGTGCTAGACCCTCTGTTAAATTACAAATTTCTCAAGGTAGGAATATCGCAAAAATATGATCAATGGCTCATTCAAGAGAAGACCTCCTCCCGAGTTATGACATCAGCCAGTATTGAAATCTGACATGTATGATAGACGTTTTCAAGATCAAAAAGTCGTATTCCTATTAACTTTCAGTGTAGTGAGAGTGATTTTATCACAGTGCTACGTCATACCGGACGGATTTCTGCCTGCTTGAACGCCAATAATTCAGATACACATGAAAACATGAAATGACCCAGGGAATCGATAGAATATCACTCGGAGATGCACAAAAACAATATAACATTCACAATGTGTGAACCTTTCCTTTAAGAAAATGTTGTATTAAGTACAGACATCTCAATAAGAAGATCAGAATAGGTGAAATAAACATGTTTCAGGTGAGGTTACCTGCGTGTGCGTCGTTCTCTAGTTGCAGAGCGTGACACTCTGTCTCTGGGAGTGGGGATGTCTGTATCCAGGTCTGAAATGTCTGAGGACAACCGAGGAAATACATTAAAACACTTAGGAATCACATACTGGATCAGCTGGACCAACTTTTACTTTGCTGTTCAGGGGCTGCTTATGACATTACATTCACATCAATCACTTTACTCCTTCCACCCTCTCTCCAGTCATGAGGTGCAGTGCTGATGCTACATTCTCTCCCTAACACACTAATCCCCCCCTCTCTCCCTCCCTCCTTCCTCTCTCCCTCACCCTCCAGTTCGGAGCTGCTGTTGCCGGGGTGGTCCTCCTCGCTGTTGGGGGCGCTGTCCTCCACCTCGGGGATGCTGACCAGGAACTTGCGGTCGTCTCTCAGGACCATCATGGTCAGCTTTCCCCGTGACTTCTCCACCAGGTGCTTGGTCTCCAGAAGGGACAGGTTCTCTGTGGTCATCCCATTGATCTGGACAGGAAGTAGAAAAACGTTAGTCACAGAATGCAGAAATCTCCTTTGGCTTCATACAATGACAAATATTGGAAACAGACACCATTAGAATACCAAGTGTATTTGTCATCAAGAGCATTTGGTTTATGGTCCCAGTAAAGAATCACAACTATGTACAAACCAAATGTTTTGTGATTAAATATCATAATAACAGCCTGCTTTCTCTTACCTTGAGAATGAGGTCTCCCTCCTGAAGAGTGCCCTCCTTGGCAGCCAGACCCGTCTCAGTCATGTGTTTGATGAAGATCTGGCTTCCCAACTTCAGTCCATACTCTGAAACAGGAAGAAAAAGGCAACATGAAATTGATATAGTGGAAGCCTTGCATTCACCCATCTATGTCAGATCTGTGATGACACTGAAACCTTTTTCTACGGCGTGGCCTAATAAACACGACCCAAATTCTCTCTCCTGTGGTTTCTCCTTACCATCTGTGAGTTTCTTCTTCAGCAGGGTGGCTTTGATTGGCTTGTCTGGGAAGGCCTGTGGTGGGAGCCGTTTGTACCCTGAACTGAGTGGCAGGGCATGAGCGGTCCCGTTGCGGTCGAAGGCGGAGCTGGGGGCGCGATAGCGGTCAGCTTTGTGGGCCTGGTCACTGCCATCGGAGTAGCGTCGGAGCCTCTGTGGGGGGTCCTGGTCCAGCAGGTTGGAGTGAGAGGCAGCACGCGATGGTCTGGTGCTGGCGGGGAGCTGGATCTTACGAGGACGCTTCACTGTCTGAGAGAGGGAGAGTCAGTAATGTATTACATTTATTTTTTCTGGTGTACTGAAATCATGATATCACAGCCATAACCTGGGGTTGGAATTGCTCACAAATCACATGAAGATGTCAAGAATAACTAATCTAAACAGAACAGTACATAAGGTTTTTGTCAGTACTCACTATGTTGGCTGTTTTGCCACATGACTTGAGGTTCTGGATGGTGAAGGTAGAGTAGACATTCTCCATTGACACCCCATTGACCATGACGATCTGATCTCTGACACTGTTGGAGAGGGACGAGAGGTAGAACAAGGTAATCAAGCACTCCTAACGATCAAACACATGCGATTTTAAGTGTTTGTATGTGTGTGTGTATGTTTATATACAGTGAGCTCCAAAAGTATTGGGACAGTGACAAATGTTTTGTTGTTTTGGCTCTGTACTCCAGCACGTTGGATTTTAAATGACACAATGACTAGGAGGTTAAAGCACAGACTGTAAGCTTTAATTTGAGGGTATTTTTATCCATATCGGGTGAACCGTTTAGAAATTACAGCACTTTTTGTACATAGTTCCCCCATTTTGGGACAAATTCACTTATAGGTGTATTAAAGAAGTAAAAAGTATTTGGTCCCATATTCATAGCACACAATAACTACATCAAGCTTGTGACTCTGCAAATTTGTTGGATGCATTTGCTGTTTGTTTTGGTTGCATTTCAGATTATTTTGTGCCCAATAGAAATAAAATGGTAAATAATGTATTGTGTCTTTTTGGAGTCACTTTTATTGTAAATAAGAATAATGTTTTCTAAACACTTCTACATTAATGTGGATGCTACCATTAATGTGGAGGCTATATACATTTTGGAGTCAATTGTATTTTTTGGGGAATGGCAGTATCAGCCAATCAGCTCCTTTGTTGTTCAACGCAACGTGCTATTCCATAATGGCTGCTGTGGCTACTGCTAGCTAGCATGAGGATGAAAAGGGCAATTTACTTCAAAACTAGCAGTCGTTCAATCTTGGTGTAACAGTTGGGATACTGGGACAATTCAGAGTACAACGCATTTCTCATCCCTGGATTGAGGTAGGCTCTGCGGTGTCAATCTACACAGGAAGTCTGTCCGACCCTAGTGCAGCTGTAAGCAAGCAGGTCTACTGGCTAGCCTGAAGGGTAAATGTGTATGGTGTAGGTGACTTACAACAGCCGTCCCATAGCGGGTCCGTTACGCACCACATCTGAAACTATCACGGATGCGTCCCCCGAGTCCGGGTTCGGCTGGTCTCTGCCTCCTGATATCGCAAAGCCAAACCCCATCTTGGAATCCTGCCATTGCGAGAGAGGGAGGGTGATAAAGGGGAGAGAGTGAGTGAGTGAGTGAGCACATTCCATCAGCACTGAAGTGTGTCACCTGACCTGTACCTAGAGTAACAGGGAGCAGGGCGTGTCTTTGTTACTCTTAATTCCTGCAGTTACTCTTAAATCCATTCCAACTAAAGTGGTTCAGTAGGCTATTTCATTCAGTGTACCTTGAAGTAAGTGAAGTACTGTACAATCGGTTAAGTTTCAGGTGAAAGTATAACATCAAAACACTGACCGACCAAACAACAAGATAGACACTTACTTTGCTGAGTGTTATAGTATGCTGCTCCCATATTGTTAATTCCTCCATCTCTGGTTTCTGAAAAACAAAACATCAAACCCATTACAACATGTTAAACCAATAGCAGAGTACCGGCATTCTCCATTTTGCCATTAATGAACCAGAGCAACTTCAACAGAAGTCAGATAACAACATCAGAAGCAGCTGTTTTATGTCCTTACACAGCCCAGCGTTGTTTGAGAGACAGTGAGGAGAGGAGTGAGTCAACAGCAACGTGCTCCTACCTGTCCCATTCCATTCTTGTCTGGCAGGTATGGGGGAGGGGCCACAGGGGAAAGACTCAGCAGGCAGCACTTATGGCCTTGCTGTATGGACCGCCGTTTGGGTCTTCGCGTGTCAAAAAAGATACACTTCAAATAACACTATTTGACGTGTCAAATAATACAATTATATTCTAGCATGTTGTGTGTGCTTAATTTGCATGTGCAAGCCAAGCGCCACCACTACGATCAGTAGCACTGTCAAAGCTGTACAAAAAAAGTCTGCAAACAAGCACACACCGGCAACCAACGACGTGTTTACAAAAGCGCGTTGGTAATAATGCATTATTTGTTCGACTGAATGGGAAAACGTCTGTAATCATTTGAAATAATATCAGGATCAAATGATCAGGATCAAAAATGTTAGCAAATATATTTGATAGAGATGTTATTAGCAACTTCTGGGGTAGCTAGCTAGCACCAATGCAACTAACGTAAGCCTGAAAACAATAACCAATAGAAACTGCAGTCATATTCAATATTATTTGCAATGATTTTGGAATCCATGTGAGTAGGTATAAGCTAGGTAGCCACTTGAACTTGAAATGTAACTTCAGTTTATGAAAATAACTAGCTAGCCAGCTACTTAACCCCGTTGCCCAAAGCTAACGTTATAAGCAGACAGTAAACTTCATCTGGCTGGTGAGCATTGACCTGACCGGTTTATGTGTTGTGAAAATATCCACAATAAGGATTAGCCACAATAGTGGAATTTGCAGTTTGCCTTCAAAATAAAAGTACCTCTTTGAAAGTGACGCAGGTAGGTCACAATTGGTGAAATACTTCAATATTTAGACTAGACCATGTTAAACAAGGTTGGAATGTGGAGCAATGAAATGAGTATCAGTCTACTCGGTGACACCCACACCACACAACTGTGAAGAGTTTACGCAAATATTAGCATTGTAGCTCTTATCGCGGGACAGTGACTGTGTGAAATCACCTCCCCAGTCAGCCTATTGTGCGTATTGACATTCATATGGCACTGTACAGCCTTACCTAAAGATTGGGGATCAATTAAATGGGGTGTCAGTCTACTCAGTACCAATAGCTTTTTTCCCAACGTCCTCAGAGTTATTCCTCTGGAATAGTGTTCAATACACATAGTAGGGTGACTGGTACAATAAATGTGGCTCAATTCACAGTGGTTTCAGAGTCCCGCAATAAGAGCTACGACGCTAATGTTCTTTGGGTGTCACTGAGTAGACTGATACCCCATGTCATTGATCCATAATCCATAGGTAAGGCTGTACAGTGAAATAAATATGCCCCCAATGCAATTCTAAAGTCTAATACATCCAGTGTGATTTCAACAGATTTTTGTCAAATTAAAGAAATGTTATTTTGTTGAATTTATATAAACAACAATCCAACCTCGTTTAGCGTGATCCATTGCATAATTCCACTATTTGTATTCATTTGCATCACTGTCAATGACATACTTTTATTTTGAAGGCCCTAAAAATGGTCAAAGACTCATACACAGCAAGCGGTATCCGGAGCGCCAAGTCTAGGTCCAAGAGGCTTCTAAACAGCTTCTAACCCCAAGCCATAAGACTCCTGAACATCTAATCAAATGGCTACCCAGACTATTTGCATTTTTTGGTATTCTTTCTTAAAACTGCATTCTTGATTAAGGGCTTGTAAGTAAGCATTTCACTGTAAGGTCAACCAAACAAAATACTCTATACAAGGTGGGATCTTTTTGTGTCTGTAAAATGTATTAAGTGAGAAATGGCAGTGGAAACGCTTTAATGCGCAAATATTTATATAATACCCAGTCAACATGTCCAGGTGGGCCCCACCTGGGTTTTAACTGGGCAAGGTCTCTAAATGTTTATCTTAGCTGGTACCCAGTTGGGTTAACCTTTTGGCCCAGACATTGACAAACCCATGTGGGTTATAGTGTGGGTCCCAAATGGGCCCTGAATCATTTTTTAAATGGGCTGTAAGTGGGCAATCTGGTGTTATTTTTTCAGGAATAATGACTGGGACCCAATCATGTCATGTGGGCTACAACATGGGTACCAAATAGGCCCTGACTCAATTCTAAATAGGTTGTAAGTTGGCTATCTGGTGTTAATATTGTCTATGGCTTCCCCCAAGACATAAAAAAACAAAAAAACAATTATAATAATAAATATACATTTACATTTAAGTCATTTAGCAGACGCTCTTATCCAGAGCGACTTACAAAGCTGTCATCTAGGCAAAGGGTGGCTATTTGAAGAATCTCAAATATAAAATATATTTTGATTTGTTTAATACTTTTTTGGTTACTACATGATTCCATGCGTTATTTCGTAGTTTTGATGTCTTCACTATTATTCTACAATGTAAAAAATAGTAAAAATAAAGAAAAACCCTTGAATGAGTAGGTGTGTCCAAACTTTTGACTGGTAGTGTGTATTTATATATAAATAATAGTATCTTTCGTCTCTCTGTTTCATAATTTTCCTTCAATTCGCAAGAGGCTGAATGTATCTCACAGATAGCACCCGAGCGAGCGAAACAGCGCCCCTCTGTCTCTCTACATGTAGGCCATCTATCTGATACTGTCTGGTCCAAACGAGTATGACATTGTTGCCGCCCGTAGCATTAAATGCAAGGGAAGCCAGCGAGCATTTGGCCTCCCTTGACAAAAAAAGTAGTAAAAAATGTGTCAGAGTTGAGCTAAACTGAGCAAGCTCAACTATAAATGGTCCTGGAAAAAATAAAAAATAAAGTGTCAAGGGAAGTCAGCTTTGATTTGGCGTCTCTCCTATCAAATCGCTTTGAGAGCATACGTCATTAACAGAAACAACTTGAATTGTTGCATTTCATTGTGTTGTCCTCCGGTGGCTAGCTAGCTAGCTAGCTAAAATTGGCCCTTTCCTAAATTAGCCATGGATGGAGATAGGGATTTGGACTTGTGGTTTTACTTAATTCTCTGTACTGGCCAATGATAATAACAGCTTGGCTTCCCCAGTGATTTTTAAGCCATATGGAATTGATGTAAGGATTAAAGTATTTTTTTGTGTGGAATTTATGAATTTTTTATTTTATAACGTTTGTTACTTTAGTAAAAATCGAACTGAAACAAACCCGAAACTGAAATTAGAAACTTGGCCTCCTACACTAACTGAAGTCAATGAAATACCATGGTCAATTATTGAGCTAGCCAAATCAACTTGTTAGAACAGACTGACCAGAAAAGTTCAAATGACATCAGAATTGAGCTGCCTGTGTAAACGCGCCCATGTCTGTCCCAAAAGGTTAACCCAACTAGATTCCAGCTAAGGTATGCATTTAGCTGGGGCAACTGAGCCCCATGTAGCTCAGTTGGTAGAGCATGGCGCTTGCAACGCCAGGGTTGTGGGTTCGTTTCCCACGGGGGGCCAGTATGAAAATGTATGCACTCACTAACTGTAAGTCGCTCTGGATAAGAGCGTCTGCTAAATGACTAAAATGTAAAACATTTAAATGTAGAGTCCTTGGATAAAGTCTGAAATGCTGCACTAGATCAGTAGCCTAAATACTGAATGATGGTTTATTTTCACCGCTACCTATGAACAGGCCTGGATCAAACGTAAAAAGGCAGAGGAGATCTGATCTGCAGACGGACTCAGACATGGATGAATAAGAGTCAGGACCTGACAGTGGAAACACGGCGACAGCAACACTACCTGAGGGGGTTGATTACACTATGAATACTGTCCAGGATGTGGAGGTGATGGAGCAAAAGTTACTCGACACAGCTTTCCTGAAAGGGATGTTTTACAAAAAAAACATTATTGTAGTACTTTGTTCATTAGTCTACTGTTAAAATAATACAAAAAATGGTGCATGTTAGCAATAAAGTTTTCAGTACTTTCAGTGCAGCGCAAAAAGTATGATGATGCAAATGAGCAAAATGATCTTGCATATAATTTGCATCATTTCACTTTTTGTTCTGTACTGCAGTGTTTCGCAATCCTTGTCCTGGGGACTGAAAGTGGTGCACATGATTCAACTAAGCAACACATCATCAAGTCTTTGAATTGAATAAGGTATGTGAGTGCTTTGGCAAAAACAAACATGCACACCCCTTTGGGACCAGGATTGGGGAACACTACTGTACTGAAAGTCCTCCATCTTGAGAACCTCACTGCTGACATGCACATTTTTGGAATTGTATACTGGGTGAGGAAACCAATGTGTACATTTGTAATTAGATTGAACTATACCTGTAATCAGAGTTCCTGCATTGTATTTGATCTGAGCATGTGCTATAAATAAACAATTTATTTTATAAAGAACTGCTTTTGTCATCTCTTAAGAAAGCTTGCTCGGGCAACAACATCTGGGGTCTGCATGGAGACTAAGAACAAAACCAGTTTGGTCCCAGGTGGATAGCGCAATTGAAAACCACATTTTACAGCCTACTTATTGCCCATATAGGTCACTACACACCCATTTGGGTAAACACCTGGGACCCATGCAGGTAAGTGCGATAACCCACATGGCCCCCAGGTTTTAGCCTAGGTGGGTTAAAGAAGGGTTAACACTTGGGGCCAATGTCGTATAACCACAAGGGGCCCATAAAGATGTCCTCAGTATCCACGTTGGCCCCATGCAGTTGCCATGTTGGGCTTCACAACTTATGAAGCCCAACATGAACCCACATAAAGCCAAAAATGGCAACCACATGTGGGGCCAATGTGGATACCTAATGGGGCCCATGGAACAGCCCTTCATTAACCCATATGGGCCCCACATAGAAATGTTGGCTGGGTAACCAGCATATTAACGTAAACTTGGAGTCACGCGATAACAAGGTGTGTGGTCCTCCCACTACGACTCGGGAAAGCACGCAGTTTTATTAGGCTACAGATGAAATAAATTATGATAAACGTCACAGGGTGGTGAAAGTGCACGGTGATGAGCTTGATGCTCCTTTTCAATAAATATTGAGGGTCTTATTCTGGTGACATAATGATAGATGTTTGGCTGCAGTTTGACAAATTAAAATAATTAAAATAATCTCATTATGTAGGCTATACGCGCACTGTATTTGCGAGCTGTTGGCTAAAGCGCACATGCCAATACCAGAGTGGGCACATTCGCTATATAAACGCAACATTTTTAGTGACAAAACCATCAGAGTTAAATGCGATGGAAACCCATTTAAATGTGTATTTTTTTATTTGGTAGATGGGAATTTAACCTGAAGTTATTTTTATGTGCACTACGTACAGACTTATCTGCAACAAGTCAATTGGATGGAAACAACTCTGGTGGGAAAATGTGCATATTCTATTTGTGGTATTTTTTAATATTTGCATTAAACTATTTTTAAAATAAAGAAAAATTAGGGGGTAGATCAGCTTTAATATTGCAGATAGATTGTAACTTCCATCATTGTAATTGTCTGCATCACTTCCAATCCCCCATATGTTTTTTTTCTTGCATATATATATATATATATATATATATATATATATACACACATACATACATACATACATACATACATACATACATACATACATACATACATACATACACACACATACATACAGTGAGGGAAAAAAGTATTTGATCCCCTGCTGATTTTGTACATTTGCCCACTGACAAAGAAATTATCAGTGTATAATTTTAATGGTAGGTTTATTTGAACAGTGAGAGACAGAATAACAACAAACATTTCCAGAAAAACGCATGTCAAAAATGTTCTAAATTGATTTGCATTTTAATGAGGGAAATAAGTATTAGACCCCCTCTCAATCAGAAAGATTTCTGGCTCCCAGGTGTCTTTTATACAGGTAACGAGCTGAGATTAGGAGCACACTCTTAAAGGGAGTGCTCCTAATCTCAGCTTGTTACCTGTATAAAAGACACCTGTCCACAGAAGCAATCAATCAATCAGATTCCAAACTCTCCACCATGGATGTCAGGGACAAGATTGTAGACCTACACAAGGCTGGAATGGACTACAAGACCATCGCCAAGCAGCTTGGTGACAAGGTGACAACAGTTGGTGTGATTATTCGCAAATGGAAGAGACACAAAATAACTGTCAATCTCCCTCGGCCTGGGGCTCCATGCAAGTTCTCACCTCGTGCAATGATCATGAGAACGGTGAGGAATCAGCCCAGAACTACACGGGAGGATCTTGTCAATGATCTCAAGGCAGCTGGGACCATAGTCACCAAGAAAACAATTGGTAACACACTACGTCGTGAAGGACTGAAATCCTGCAGCGCCCGCAAGGTCCCCCTGCTCAAGAAAGCACATATACATGCCCGTCTGAAGTTTGCCAATGAACATCTGAATGATTCAGAGGAGAACTGGGTGTGGTCAGATGAGACCAAAATGGAGCTCTTTGGCATCAACTCAACTCGCCGTGTTTGGAGGAGGAGGAATGCTGCCTATGACCCCAAGAACACCATCCCCACCGTCAAACATGGAGGTGGAAACATTATGCTTTGGGGGTGTTTTTCTGCTAAGGGGACAGGACAACTTCACCGCATCAAAGGGACGACGGACGGGGCCATGTACCGTCAAATCTTGGGTGAGAACCTCCTTCCCTCAGCCAGGGCATTGAAAATGGGTCGTGGATGGGTATTCCAGCATGACAATGACCCAAAACACACGGCCAAGGCAACAAAGGAGTGGCTCAAGAAGAAGCACATTAAGGACCTGGAGTGGCCTAGCCAGTCTCCAGACCTTAATCCCATAGAAAATCTGTGGAGGGAGCTGAAGGTTCGAGTTGCCAAACGTCAGCCTCGAAACCTTAATGACTTGGAGAAGATCTGCAAAGACGAGTGGGACAAAATCCCTCCTGAGATGTGTGCAAACCTGGTGGCCAACTACATGAAACGTCTGACCTCTGTGATTGCCAACAAGAGTTTTGCCACCAAGTACTAAGTCATGTTTAGCAGAGGGGTCAAATACTTATTTCCCTCATTAAAATGCAAATCAATTTATAACATTTTTGACATGCGTTTTTCTGGATTTTTTTGATGTTATTCTGTCTCTCACTGTTCAAATAAACCTACCATTAAAATTATAGACTGATAATTTCTTTGTCAGTGGGCAAACGTACAAAATCAGCAGGGGATCAAATACTATTTTCCCTCACTGTACACACACACACACACACACACACACACACAAAATTACTAATGGTTTTCTTTGAGACTGTGGTCCCAGCTCTCTTCAGGTCATTGACCAGGTCCTGCCGTGTAGTTCTGGGCTGATCCCTCACCTTCCCCATGATCATTGATGCCCCACGAGGTGAGATCTTGCATGGAGCCCCAGACCGAGGGTGATTGACCGTCATCTTGAACTTCTTCCATTTTCTAATAATTGCGCCAACAGTTGTTGCCTTCTCACCAAGCTGCTTGCCTATTGTCCTGTAGCCCATCCCAGCCTTGTGCAGGTCTACAATCCCTGATGTCCTTACACAGCTCTCTGGTCTTGGCCATTGTGGAGAGGTTGGAGTCTGTTTGATTGAGTGTGTGGACAGGTGTCTTTTATACAGGTAACGAGTTCAAACAGGTGCAGTTAATTCAGGTAATGAGTGGAGAACAGGAGGGCTTCTTAAAGAAAAACTAACAGGTCTGTGAGAGCCGGAATTCTTACTGGTTGGTAGGTGATCAAATACTTATGTCATGCAATAAAATGCAAATTAATTACTTAAAAATCATACAATGTGAATTTCTGGATTTTTGTTTTAGATTCCGTCTCTCACAGTTGAAGTGTCCTATGATAAATTGAGATGTTTTTTTCTCCAGAAAATCACATTGTAGGATTTTTCATGAATTTATTTGCAAATTATGGTGGAAAATAAGTATTTGGTCACCTACAAACAAGCAAGATTTCTGGCTCTCACAGACCTGTAATTTCTTCTTTAAGAGGCTCCTCTGTCCTCCACTCGTTACCTGTATTAATGGCACCTGTTTGAACTTGTTATCAGTATAAAAGACACCTGTCCACAACCTCAAACAGTCACACTCCAAACTCCACTATGGCCAAGACCAAAGAGCTGTCAAAGGACACCAGAAACAAAATTGTAGACCTGCACCAGGCTGGGAAGACTGAATCTGCAATAGGTAAGCAGCTTGGTTTGAAGAAATCAACTGTGGGAGCAATTATTAGGAAATGGAAGACATACAAGACCACTGATAATCTCCCTCGATCTGGGGCTCCACGCAAGATCTCACCCTGTGGGGTCAAAATGATCACAAGAACGGTGAGCAAAAATCCCAGAACCACACGGGGGGACCTAGTGAATGACCTGCAGAGAGCTGGGACCAAAGTAACAAAGCCTACCATCAGTAACACACTACGCCGCCAGGGACTCAAATCCTGCAGTGCCAGACGTGTCCCCCTGCTTAAGCCAGTACATGTCCAGGCCCGTCTGAAGTTTGCTAGAGTGCATTTGGATGATCCAGAAGAGGATTGGGAGAATGTCATATGGTCAGATGAAACCAAAATAGAACTTTTTTGGTAAAACCTCAACTCGTCGTGTTTGGAGGACAAAGAATGCTGAGTTGCATCCAAAGAACACCATACCTACTGTGAAGCATGGGGGTGGAAACATCATGCTTTGGGGCTGTTTTTCTGCAAAGGGACCAGGACGACTGATCCGTGTAAAGGAAAGAATGAATGGGGCCATGTATCGTGAGATTTTGAGTGAAAACCTCCTTCCATCAGCAAGGGCATTGAAGATGAAACGTGGCTGGGTCTTTCAGCATGACAATGATCCCAAACACACCGCCCGGGCAACGAAGGAGTGGCTTCGTAAGAAGCATTTCAAGGTCCTGGAGTGGCCTAGCCAGTCTCCAGATCTCAACCCCATAGAAAATCTTTGGAGGGAGTTGAAAGTCTGTGTTGCCCAGCGACAGCCCCAAAACATCACTGCTCTAGAGGAGATCTGCATGGAGGAATGGGCCAAAATACCAGCAACAGTGTGTGAAAACCTTGTGAAGACTTACAGAAAACGTTTGACCTGTGTCATTGCCAACAAAGCGTATATAACAAAGTATTGAGAAACTTTTGTTATTGACCAAATACTTATTTTCCACCATAATTTGCAAATAAATTCATTAAAAATCCTACAATGTGATTTTCTGGATTTTTTTTTCTCATTTTGTCTGTCATAGTTGACGTGTACCTATGATGAAAATTACAGGCCTCTCTCATCTTTTTAAGTGGGAGAACTTGCACAATTGGTGGCTGACTAAATACTTTTTTCCCCCACTGTATATATATATATATATACACACACACACACACACACACACACACACACACATACATATCCTTATCTGCAACAAGTAAATTGGATGGAAACATCTCTGGTGGGAACATTTGCGTATTCTATTTGTTGTATTTTTTTATATTCGCATTAAACTGTTGCCAATTGGATGGAAACCTAGCTACTGTCTGTGAAAATGCAGGAATCATGACTAGGTTTTTAGGTGGGTTTTATTTTTCCTTGTTTTTTAACCCCTACCCCTTTCAGATATACAAAAAAGCAGGCAAAAAAAAGCAGGCATAGTAAATGTGGGATTTCGGTCTGTGTATGAAAAGGATACGACTACATCTTCAGCAAAGAAGGGTAGTGAACAAGTGGAGATTTCTAAGCACATAAAACATAGAAAAACATTCTTGACTGTGTACATTTAGCTTGGGATTCTGACAATCAACAATCTTGGCTTGTTTTCTTTTATTCTGTTAGAAAAATGTCAAAGACATGACTCAAACACAATCTTAAACCACACTTTCTCAAAAAAGGAAGGTGAAACTTGTCAGAAATAACATGAGTAGGTTAAATGCATTCAGAGAAATTTACACACACATTTTTTTTACCTAACTCATTAAAACAATTGAGTAGTAGTTACTTAAACATCTTCAACTGCTTGTAGAACTGAAATCATACAAGTGGTACTTAAATCAGATGTTCTTATCACTTAATGTTTGAGTACTTTAAACAAATATTAGGTTATTCACTAGTTTTTTACAAGTCATTTATTAAATAAGTTGTTCTTACTTAATTATATTATGTTTTACGCCTTTACTTAAAATAATAAAGTAGTAGTCAGACATTTTAATATGAGTAAAAAACAACAACACTTGATTTATCTGTGTTGTACTTTTCTAGAATTACGTTTTTGCAAGTTATGAATACTTAATACTGCCACGTGGCTCTGTTTTTAGAGGATTGTGGGTAATTCCCAATTTGACTTTATGACACTTTTACACAATGATGTATGCATGTTTGAAGAAAGTATATTTCTAAAATAGTATTAACCAGTTTGTTGTGCTATGAGGTGTAATTGATCATGATGAACGGATATCAAAACCGTCATGCAAACTGACGTTCAATAATGAGACAAGCCATTCCCCACCATCAACAAAGGTTATATGCACCACTTAATGAGCACTGCTCAACATTGCCTGCTAAAGTAGGTTCAAATGTCAAATACATAAAACAATGTTAAACATTAAGACACAACCACTGAAAGTTACTAATCAGAACTACTTACACTTGACAAAAATTAGTAATGAAGGTTATTTAAGTTCACTTCAACAAACATTAACTTCAAATCGTTATAGTTCAGAATACATAATGCACTTTAGTGTCAAGTCATAAAACACAAAAAAGTTAAGTATTTAGAATAAAAAAATATAACCATATGGGTGGTGATGTCACTTTTATACTTGAAGTATTGAACACAGACATACAGTGCATTCGTAAAGTATTCAGACCCCTTAACTTTTTCCACATTGTTACGTTACAGCCTTATTCTAAAATGGATTAAATTGTTTTTTTCCCCTCTCATCAATCTACACACAATACCCTATAAGGACAAAGCAAAAATAGGTTTAGACATTTTAGCACATTTATTAAAAATAAACAACTAACATCTCATTTACATAAGTATTCAGACCCTTTACTCAGTACTTTGTTGAAGCACATTTGGCAGTGATTACAGCCTCAATTCTTCTTGGGTATGATGCTACAAGCTTGGCACACCTGTATTTGGAGAGTTTCTCCCATTCTTCTCTGCAGATCCTCTCAAGCTCTGTCAGGTTGGATGGGGAGCGTCGCTGCATAGCTATTTTCAGGTCTCTCCAGAGATGTTCGATCGGGTTCAAGTCCGGGTTCTGGCTGGGCCACTCAAGGACATTCAGAGACTTGTCCCAAAGCCACTCCTGCATTGTCTTGGCTGTGTGCTTAGGATCGTTGTCCTTTTGGAAGGTGAACCTTCACCCCAGTCTGAGGTCCTGAGTGCTCTGGAGCATGTTTTCATCAAGGCTCTCTCTGTACTTTGCCTCAATCCTACCTAGTCTCCCAGTCCCTGCCGCTGAAAAACATCCCAACAGCACGATGCTGCCACCACCACGCTTCACCGTAGGGATGGTGCCAGGTTTCCTACAGACGTGACGCTTGGCATTCAGGCCAAAGAGTTCAATCTTGGTTTCGTCAAAACAGAGAATTTTGTTTCTCATGGTCTGAGAGTCCTTTAGGGGCCTTTTGGAAAACTCCAAGCGGGCTGTCATGTGCCTTTTACTGAGGAGTGGCTTCTGTCTGGCCACTCTACCATAAAGGCCTGATTGGTGGAGTGCTGCAGAGATGGTTGTCTTTCTGGAAGATTCTCCCATCTCCACAGAGGAACTCTGGAGCTCTGCCAGAGTGACCATTGGGGTCTTGGTCACCTCCCTGACCAAGGCCTTTCTCCCCCGATTGCTCAGTTTGACCGGGCGGCCAGCTCTAGGAAGAGTCTTGGTGGTTACAAACTTCTTCCATTTAAGAATGATGGAGGCCAGTGTGTTCTTGGGGACCTTCAATGCTGCAGACATTTTTTGGAACCCTTCCCCAGATATGTGCCTCAACACAATCCTGTCTTGGAGCTCTACGGACAATTCCTTCGACCTCTTGGCTTGGTTTTTGCTCTGACATGCACTGTCAACTGTGGGACCTTATATAGACAAGTGTGTGCGCCTTTCCAAATCATGTCTAATCAATTGAATTTACCACAGGTGGACTCCAATCAAGCTGTAGAAACATCTCAAGGATGATCAATAGAAACAGGATGCACCTTAGCTCAATTTTGAGTCTCATAGCAAAGGGTCTGAATACTAATGTAATTAAGGTATGTTGTTTATTTTTTATAAATGTGCAAAAAAATCTAAAAACCTGTTTTCGCTTTGCCACTATGGGGTATTGTGTGTAGATTGATAAGGAAAAACATTTATTTAATCCAGTTTAGAATAAGGCTGTAAGGTAACAAAATGTGGAAAAAGGGAAGGGGTCTGAATACTTTCCGAATGCACTGTACTTTGAGTTTGGTTACTCAAATGGTTCTAGGCAACGAGTTTCCACCAAAATAAATTGTTAGCAGAACTAATTACTTTTTCCAGTGCAGAATTGCTAAACTTTCTGGAACCACAGTATTTATGTATACCTTAACAGCCCCCCCCCCCCCCCTCACACACACACACACACAAAAAAGCCACACAATGATCATAATAAAACAATCTTAAACCACACTTCCTCAAAAAAGGTAGCAACAAAATCTTTAGGTACTTTCCTGCTTTTCATAAAAGACCATTAAAGCAGTGTTCTTTGTACTCACCACTTCTTCTCTGTATCTCACTTCCATTCCCCTCTGGGAGATCAGCCTATCAACACACACCTGTGGCCTCCTCTCTTCTACGCAAAAACACCTTGCTCTCTATCCCATATCATAATCCACGTTGGGGGCAACGAAATTAAAGATCCATACAGTGCTTCAAATCCAATACATTTTTTCACCACCTCTTTCAAAATGACCCTGAGTTGGCGGTCCGGTTGAAAGGTGAGCCGGGTTATCAATAGCTAATGAGTACTGACCACTGAAAATCACCCTGCAGAAACAAACCTCACCTGCACCAATGGGAGGCTCCACCCCTTCTGCCACTCCCACTCATACAGCACTTTCTATTGCCCTTTGTTGCCAAGGAATTAAGGCAGAACCACATTTGCCACAGTAAAACCCCATATAGCCCCACGTTTAAATACCTTAAGAGGTTTAGATGAAAAATATGAAGACAGATACTCCAGAATGTGAGTCACTTTCATCCAGTCATTAGATTAATAGTTATGTGAAACTTGAAAAATACTAATTTTGAGAGGCAGATAAATCATATCACTAAGGGGGAGTTACAGCCAGTAAACTCACATTGTTTGATCCTAACTGTACATGATGTTAGCCTTTAAGCACTTCCCAATCCTAATGGTTACACTGATTGTGACATTCAGTAGGAAAGTAAACCATTGAAACTAACACAAAATAGATAAACAACTGACTCAATTTCTACACCAAACAATAAAATCAGTCAAACATATTTTATCAGGTAAATCACTCATCCTCTCTTATTGCAATTTCACAGCAAACTTGATTTTACCTACTCAAGCCAACATTGAGCTCAAAAGAGAAGCTACAAAAGGGAGAGACTGAGTGAACTCTTACCGGTGGTGTCACTGAATAAGTGACTAGTTTCAGCGCCTGTGTCAGATTCATGACAAAACAGTAACGTCCTGTTTGGGTCCAACAATAACCTGCTGACAGAATATGGCTGAGTCACCTCTGGTCTGGCTGAGGCTGACACACTGGAGCTGTTCTCAGCACAGTCCATGTGAGCTTTACACCTTATCTCAGCAAGCCACAGTCACTGATACCCTGTCCCCACACAGTCTAGGTGACAGGGAACAGTGTGATGCTATTGAGAAACTCCCCAAATGACACCTAGCCTCTTCCCATTTACGAAAGGTATTTCATAATCATATATCCAATGTTGCTGAGATAGGCCTGGGCACTGAGAGGAAGGATATTCCCAATCTGACTGGAGAGCAGTTAGGTACTACTTTCCCATGGAAGCCCAGGTTACGGGGCTGGCTTAGTCATGCCTGGCACTATGGTTACCAGAAGGAATGGATACACTGGGCTGTTAATAACTGACAGGGTATTTACTCCACCAAAGGCTCTGGCAAAGGTCTTCTATATAGGCCACTGTCACTGTGCCTTGTGATTGGAGAGGAACGAGTGTTTAGATTGTATCTCTTCAAAAGAAACACATACGCATGGCCCAGAGCACAGGCATTTTCGGCTGGATTTTTCTTCTTTGCTTCTACCTGGTTGAGATTAGTCATTAGAAGGCCTTCAGATGTCAATTGCAGGACCAAGGTGGCCATATAGACTACTTTCCAGTCTGCGTGTATTGTGAGAATTGGGTGTGGTAAAAAGGAAGTAAGAACTGGAATTTCTGGCCTTTGGACAGTCACAACACACCCTTTCTGAATCCCAAACATTTTTTCTTCTCTTTTTCTTTTTATTCCCTTACGTATTTGTTTTGATTGCTTAGGCCCCTACACCAGACTTCGGCACGAATCCTGAATTATTAATAGACCAGAGGGAAATAGAGGTAGAATTTAAAAAACGTCACTTGAGTACAGTTTCATAGAGAGGGCTGTAACAAAAGCAAACACCTCTTAAGAACAGGTGCGCCCCTACGGCAGGTAAACAATCACTCACTTGGAGACTGCTCAGTAGGCCCCAGCTGCACTAGCACACAGGGGCAAATATTTACATTTTAGTCATTTAGCAGACGCTCTTATCCAGAGCGACTTACAGTTAGTGAGTGCATACATTTTCATACTATGCGTCATGTTCCTAACTAGAGCAAATATTGTACTTCTCAAAAATGCACAAAATAGACCTACATACTGTAACTACTGTTGCTCGACTACTGGAAAGCTTGCGTTCAGTGCATGTGAGTGTTGCGGCGCTATGGCTAATGTTTTACTATATTAGACCTAGTTCCACCACAATGTATAGCATGAATTCTTAACAGAACGCTAACCAAGCATGCCTGAAATCTTAATCTACTGTATTTTGGAATGTAAAAGAAAACACTGATTGGGCACTGCCTATGTGGTCCACAAAGACTCACTGTTATTTCTGTGTAAAATGCTTCCAAAACCACCTCTGATGTGCAGTTTGGTCAAGAGTTGAGCAACACAGCAACACAAAACTAACAAGATCCTTTTCATAAGTGGTGCTTGCCTTTGGAGCAGTGAGGGGAACGGCACCCCTGTACCTTCAGGCTCTGATCAGTCCCTACACCCAAACGAGGACATTGCGTTCATCCACCTCTGGCCTGCTGGCTCCCCTTCCTCTGCGGAAGCACAGCTCCCCCTCAGCCCAGTCAAAACTGTTCGCTGCTCTGGCACCCCAATGGTGGAACAAGCTCCCTCACGACGCCAGGACAGCGGAGTCACTCACCACCTTCCGGAGACATTTGAAACCCCACCTCTTTAAGGAATACCTGGGATAGGCTAAAGTATTCCTTCTAACCCCCCCCCCCCCCCCCCCCAAATTGTAAAGTGGTTATCCCACTGGCTATAGGGTGAACGCACCAATTTGTGAGTCGCTCTGGCTAAGAGCGTCTGCTAAATGACGTTAATGTGCCCTTGAGCAAGGCACTTAACCCTAATTGCTCCTGTAAGTCGCTCTGGTTAAGAGCGTCAGCTAAATGACTAAAATGTAAATGTAAAATGTAAATAAGTGAAGAAAAAAAAGTACAAGAGGATGCTATGTAATGTAAATGGTAGTTTGCAGAGCCAGAACCCACAGGGTAATTACAGTGGGCCAACTTTCTCAGTTGAACTGCTCTGAAGAGGGATTACGTAGGCCTACCACTGACAATATTGCAGAGTATGTACATTGTGCAACCATTTTACAACATGTTTTAAAACTACAAGAGGCCTAAAATCTTAGTGAATGATTAATTACCATGGGCCTTCAACCTTCATTGAACTGCTGCTGACGATTACAGACAACGTTTGGATTGTTTATATACATACACACACACACACACACACACACACACACACAATGCAGGTTATTGAATCTCTACCAATACAATTGTTGACTCAATACTATGCTCATTGCTGTTAATACGTGTGGATCCTGAGTCATTCGCGTTGGTTACACAGTGTGGAAAACCATTTCAACAAACTACAATCACTAAACATCTTTCTTTGAATTCACGCTGATCTGATGACCATGACTGGATAGTTTGAATTAGACTTTTCCTTGAGAGTCAGTTGGTAAAAAAGCAACCTTGGATTTAGATGAATTAGAGACTTCATTTACCAAGCAAGCTTTACAATAATAAGCATCGAGCAGACAATGGAAGGGAAGATGCAGCCATTTGGGAATGCAGAGTGGCGAAGCTCTTTGGCAGGCAGAAACCTGCATGTGTGGCAGAACCAGTAGGGTAGGGTGAGGAGGCAGGCGAGAGGAGTGACCATTCTAGCTGGAACAGGCGCTCCAGCTGTCGTTTTCTTCACGGCCCTCTTAGGTTCATATAATCACCTGCTTCCCCCGCACTTAACCGTTTCACGGCAAAAAAACAAAATGGTCTCCCCCCATCCCCAGCCGCAGGACTGCTACCTCCTCCTGCCGCACCTCCGCCTTTGTGCAAAGGATCGAGCAGGTCGCTTCTCAGGAGCACTGCCAGAGCCCTGCAAAATACCTCCTCCGCTAGCAGCCACAAAATGTGGCTGTGTTCTGCTCAAACGGTCAGAAGCAGACTCCTGAGGGTGGTATGAGGGCCTCAACGTCCCCACAGGTGGGGGTTGTGTGCTTACAAGGCCACACACGTGCATACGGACAATTTGGCATTTGCCAGAGAACACCAAGATTGGCAAATTCGCCACTGGCGCCCTGTGCTCTTCACAGATGAAAGCAGGTTCACACTGAGCACGTGACAGACGTGACAGAGTCTGGAGACGCCGTGGAGAATGTTCTGCTGCCTGCAACATCCTCCAGCATGACCGGTATGGCGGTGGGTCAGTCATGGTGTGGGGTGGCATTTCTTTGGACGGCCGCACAGCCCTCCATGTGCTTGCCAGAGGTAGCCTGACTGCCATTAGGTACCGAGATGAGATCCTCAGACCCCTTGTGAGACCATATGCTGGTGCGGTTGGCCCTGGGTTCCTCCTAATGCAAGACAATGCTAGACCTCATGTGGCTGGAGTGTGTCAGCAGTTCCTGCAAGAGGAAGGCATTGATGCTATGGACTGGCCCGCCCGTTCCCCAGACCTGAATCCAATTGAGCACATCTGGGACATCATGTCTCGCTCCATCCACCAACGCCACGTTGCACCACAGACTGTCTGGGAGTTGGCGGATGCTTTAGTCCAGGTCTGGGAGGAGATCCCTCAGGAGACCATCCGCCACCTCATCAGGAGCATGCCCAGGCGTTGTAGGGAGGTCATACAGGCACGTGGAGGCCACAGACACTACTGAGCCTCATTTTGACTTGTTTTAAGGACATTACATCAAAGTTGGATCAGCCTGTAGTGTGGTTTTCCACTTTCATTTTGAGGGTGACTCCAAATCCAGACCTCCATGGGTTGATACATTTGATTTCCATTGATAATTTCTGTGTGATTTTGATGTCAGCACATTCAACTATGTAAAGAAAAAAGTATTTAATAAGATTATTTCATTCATTCAGATCTAGGATGTGTTATTTTAGTGTTCCCTTTATTTTTTGGAGCAGTGTACATGAAGGGGAATCCATTTCCCTCAAGCAACTGTAGACTGTGTGTGTGTGTCTTCACAATTCGGGTTGTTCCTTGGTATTTTTATCATTATTTTATTTATTTACTAACTAATTGCTTGTCCGAATTACCTGAGATGGAAGAGGGTATTGACAACCAGGACAGCAAATAATCAAATGCCTTGAAGAAAAGTGAAATGCAGTGTCACCCTTATGCCAAAGGTAAGACTTACTCCTTATGCTATAATAATAAGCCAAATAGTAGACACTTTTATCCAAAGTAACTTACAGTAATGGGTGCATACATTTTACATACAGGTGGTCCCAGGAGTCATACTCTACCAACTGAGCTACAAAATACCATTATGGTTAGGTATCATAACACTCAACGGTACCTAATCATAACCAAAACATATGAATACTGTTATCACAACATGATCATTTCCTTAGCAAAATCCCCACCAACAGTAAAATGTTGGATCAGGACAAATTTGAGTACTGGTTTGAGCAATATGATACATACAGTGCCTTCAGAAAGTATTCATACCTATTCCACATTTTGTTGTGTTACATACAGCCTGAATTCAAAATGGATTAAGAAAAATATAAAACATCTCACCCATCTACACACAATACCCCATAATGACAAAGTGAAAAAATGTTTTCAGACATTTTTGCAAATTAATTGAAAATTAAATATCAGACCCCTGAGTCAATACTCTGTACAAGCACCTTTGGCAGCGATTACTGCTGTGAGTCTTTCTGGGTAAGTCTCTAAGAGCTTTCCACACCTGGATTTTGCAACATTTGCCCATTATTTTTTCCAGATTTTTTTTGCTCTGTGAAATTGGTTGTTGATCATTGCTAGACAACCATTTTCAGGTCGACAAGTACATTTAAGTCAAAACTGTAACTCAGCCACTCAGGAACATGCACCGTCTTCTTGGTAAGAAATGTAGATTTGGCCTTATGTTTTAGGTTATTGTACTGCTGAAAGGTGAATTCATCTCCCAGTGGCTGGTGGAAAGCAGACTGAACCAGGTTTTCGTCTAGGTTTTTGCCTGTGC